CATACAGTGATAAATTATTCAAAACAAAAAATTGTAATGAATGCCTAATTTTGAGATAACAATAAATACTTTACTGGAAACTAGAAAATCATAACTGAATAAAATTAGCTGATATTTGATGAAAATTCACATTGAAACTCATTATTACAGTTCATTGTAGGATTTTCGCGATGAAGGGTTTTACAAAAACCGCGACACGTGTTTTGCTATATAACAGTTTTGTGAGAAGCTATTGTCGCGGTTTTTGTAAAACCCTTCATAGTGAAAATTATTCAATAAACTTTATCAATGAGTTGAAAAATAATCTGTTCAAAATAATCTGTTTAAAACCCCTTTTTCCGTTAATCAGCTGTCGCCCCTATACAAACGACAACTCTCAGAAGTTGAGAAACTTATGCGAGCAAAGGACTAACGAGGTCTTACCTTCTAACGTGTGATTCCTAAGACGGTTGCAGAATCATCCCAGCTTCAACCAGATACATTCTCTCGAGAAAAATATCTAGTCGAGGCGGGAATCGAACCGACGGCCTTCCGATCGTGAGTCGGGCGCACTACCACCACGGCCAATTCCACAAGAATAGTAGGTACATTATTTTTATTTGTTGCTGCTTCAAATGTTCGCACGATATTGGAATTATCAGCTTCGTGTTATTTATTTGTTATTAATTTGTGTCTTTTAGAAATAAATTATATATTCCTCCACAGTTTCTTGAACATCGTCATCAAAGCCTTCACCGTTTTTCGATGTGCACCTGCAGCTTTTCGAAAACCAGTCCACTCTGCCCATTCAGCATACTGATGTGTCTTTCGTATTTCAATTACATACCCCGTTATCTATCAATGCACATATTCACCATAACAAAATATTCCACAATAAAAGGCAAAAACTGGGACCTCTGGCGTGAAATGAATACAAAAATGCACTTTTTGTGATCACCAGAAATGCAATACTATCATCGACGCTCGTAATTAGCATAATCTACCATATGAGTTCAAAATTAAAACTAGATAACTTGACAAACTAGAAAAAAAGAAAAGAACTAACTGAAACTAGAAATTGTGAGTCCAGGCTTAGCTACCTAAGAAATGTTTGTGTTGTAGTCATCAACTTGGATTGCATTGATTATTTGCATAATGAGTGGTGAGTAGAAAGAAGGATAAAAACAAAGTGAAATTCGTTGAGGAAGAGGAAATATGATTATTTATTGCATTTCATATTATTATTCGTTTACGTATACAGTTTTTGGTTTGCGAAGACNAAATAAATTATGTCTCTTCAGAGACTGGACCGTTTTTCAATGTAGATATTATCTTGATGACTTAATTTTTGACTCCATATTGGATTCAATTTTTGGTATGATGTCATTTTTATCGATTTTATTTGTCATCTGTTGTCCTATATCTGCAAAGAAAGTATTGAGGTGGTTTGATTTTTTCCTATGATTAAAAATTTTTCGACCATTTTTATATGTAATGTTATACTTATCTTTTTGTTTCGTACCTTTCGATAATTCTGTTGGGCGTCGTGAATCTTATTCATATAGTGATTTTTTGTATGAGTTTTTATCGAATTGTTGAGCCAGTTTCTACAATTTTTATATTATAGATGTAGTTCTTTGTTATATCACTCATTCATTTTTTTTTTCAGGTTGTCCCTATATTTAATCGATGCTAACAGATCTGAGATCATCCAGGGTTGGCGTCTTCAGGAGATGAAGAAGACTCCAACTTGGTTGATAAAATACGCGTAAAAAGGGTATTGCATTTCTGGTACTTAGAAAATGTGCTTGTTCTGAAGCAAATTCCGTATAAGAGAAAAACTTTGAAAGAATTCTAGCAATAGGCGAGAGGTGAAAGTAAGCAAGTACCTAAAACTCATTTCTCAGATTACTCAGGCTTGTTCAAATGATGTTTATGTTAGAAAACCACATGAAACTTCAGAAAATACAGTTGGGATAGATACACTGTATATATCTCGGCACCTTCAGCTTACTTGAAACATCTAAGCAAGGTGTATAGAAAAAGAAAGCTTCATGAAAAAGGATCCAATCATCTCAGAAACATTACTCACATACCATTTGCAACCACTCAATCACCATGAAAATTCCAACTTTTCCATGTGGAAAACGAAGTCTGTGCAGATTTGACTTTCTGTCTGAAATGAGTTTCACAATAAATACAAGCTAAAGTGTGGCACAAAGTAAAGAATTTAATAAATGAAGAACAGCACGGCTTTGTGCCAAAAAAGTCAACTTCCACAAATCTGTTATCTTNCAGGTGGAGAATCAGTTACAGAAGAGGAGGTATTTCATTTTTTTCTGAAGGATATGACTTTATTTACTTTTTTTCCAACAACTGGAATGTGCATATGTAATATTCAAGAGAAACAAAACAATAGGCCCACAAACATAAGGTATTTGTGGCAGTTGAACACCAGTATTTTTAACAGACACCTGATGAAGTTTCTAGATCACCGAAAAATATTTGTGATTAGAATATTATACAAGATTTATGTCATAATCATGATTGTTTTCACAGGATTAGTAAATTGAAGCAACTAACTGATAAATAAATGGAAAAACTTATCAAAAATAGTTTCTGTTTTAAAGCCGTTCAATTGTATGAGAGTTCTTTGGTGATGAAATAAAACAGCAAATACACAAGCATTGCATTAGAGATGGTGGTCATGTAGTATAAAAAAGTTCGAGTTAGAAAAAGGTACAAAAATTATTATCGACTCCTCATACATCACGATCTATTCTGAAACATAATTATATTCATTTTGAATAATCGACAAAAGTAAAACCAAGTTGATGGAATCTCATTACCTATATCAGTGCTGCGTGCGTCTTCTGCGGTAAAACCTGAATAGACCACTGACTGCTCTCGTTCTATTACGATTACTGATGGTTGCGGGGGTTTTTCAATGCATCATAAGGATTTTCTATTTGGAAACATGTCGTTGTAGTATTTGATTGAACTCGTCCTTTATGAGCGGATATGGTCACTTGATTATTTTTTCGTTTGACAAAGGGTTTTGGCAAAAAAATAAAATTCTCTAGCTAATAGAAGAGAATACACTCTGAATGATGAAATTGTGAATTTTAGGTATCCTGAAACACGGAGAGCCAAGAGCTGTTGCGGTTGATATTTCTGAGGCCCTTGATCGTTGGAGGCATGAGGGTTTCCTGACCAAACTTCGATGCTATGGCTTGTCGGATCATTTTTGTGTATGGCTTATCAGCTTCCTGAAAGGACGTTTCCTGTAAGTGGCCGTCGACGGACATCTCTCGAATACTTTTACCATGAATGCTGGTGTTTCCCAGGGATTCATACTGTCTCCAACCTTCTTGTTATTGTGTCCAATATATTGCTTTTCTGACGACAGCGCACTTATCTCGTCATTCCATATGGATTCCAAGACATCAGCTGCGGATGCACATCTTCACCGGAAGAAGGAGGTTGCATATCTTGATGAGGATCTAGAAATGATTTTTTATTGGGGTGAAACAAATCAGATTCAATTCAATGTCACAAAAACTCTGACATCGGTTTTCTCCAAAAAGATAAATGTCTCCGAACCGGATTTAATAATGTCAGGTCATACAATTTCAATTTCTGGTTCGGTAAGTCTGTTGGGGGTTGAATTGGACACCAATATGTCTCAGCACAATCATGCTTCAATTGCGAATGCTGCTTCTCAAAAGATTGGAACACTGTTCCGAATCAGAATATTGTAAACAACTCAGCAGTTTTTAATGCTTTATGAAGTTTATAATGCTTTATGGAGTATTCTTCTCATGTATGGAGCTCCGCCCCTAAGCATATCCTGAAGCAGCTGGATTCCATCCAGAAAAGAGCCATCCGCTCGAACGCGAACATCACTTTCAACCTTGATAGTCTGGAATATCGAAGAAAGGTTGGGAATCTGTGCTGAAATCAAATGTGCCAAGTGACTTGGCATATTTGATTTCAACAAAAGCGGTACGTATCAGAAATACGCGACGGACTGTGGCTGCTCATCGTTTTGAGGTTCAACTCAGTACACTTCAAACTTCACTGTTTAAGAACTCTTTCTTTGGGAACTAGGTTTATGTGGAATAAACGTCCAGCGAACATTTTTTCAAATGGAGTCAATCTCCAAATACAATGTGAATCGCCACTTTCGCACAGGTACCGCTCTTAGAGCGACTTAAGGATTTTTCTGTAGTACCTGTGTTTTATTAAAATACTTTCGAAACCCCAAAACTGAAATATTCGTAAACAAATTCGCGGTTAACATTCATAATTATTTCAAAGTGTTTTTTCGTTTTGATCCTGTTCTGTATTTTTTTCGTTCTGAGTATGAAATAAATCATACTTGGAGAAATTTCCAACAATTTCTCACTTTCGGGTTATAAGTTTGATTACTTCCATGACAATTTTTCAGTTTGCATATCAGAACGAATTTTGAAGTGATAAATGTCACTTTTTGATAACGAATGAATACTGAGGAGATGAAATCATTTTCAAAGACTTTTTTCGAGTAAAAAGTAGATCTTCATAAGCAAAGTGACTTTTTATTGTGATAGTAATTGAATCAACTCACCTACGAAATATTGTGAAATTTTGATAAAAGTCAATGGTATGATGAATTCAGCTCGTTTTCATAATGACCATAAAATATATTTTATGCATCTACACATTAATTCATAATTAATTGGTATATTGCATGTATTATATGTGAAATACTTTTATATGTCATGTACCCTGATATTTTCAAAATAAACATGGTCTGCGTTCCTTGGTCAATTAGTAGCTACCAAAATAAATTGAACGATCCCTATAAACAACTGCATTCGCCAGTTCTCTAATCAAGCTCTTGCGAATAAAGAGAGAGATTTGGAAAACACAGCACACGCGTATTTTCCCCTATGTTTCGCGAACGTAATTCACCATAGCCCAATCGCATATATATACGAAGATTATGAAGCTCAGTTCACATTACCCGTTCAGTACTCAGGTAGATTTTTTTACCTGGAAAGAAATAATCAAAAATAGTAGTTAGTTAGTTAATTAACAACGTCACAACTAATTCTTCTAGTGTTACCGTTATTTTTGGATTACACATATCAAGATGGCTTTTATTGCATTTTTGAAGTGAGTACATTCTATTTTCAGTTTTCTCTAAGTTATCGGAACTTTATTTAGTATCAACTCAATGTATAATTTGAGAAATAAAATTAAAAATCAGTCAAAATATTCAAATATAATTTGAAGAATGCCAAATATGTAACGACTTTTCGCATGTAACTACCTTTACCCATTAATGATATTTTCTGTAATAGTGTAATTAACTCCAGCCCTGATACGAGATTTACCCAAACTGATTTGAAATGGAAGACATTACTTGCAGTTGATTCATCATGTTAAACCAAACTCAGCAAAAATCCCAACAGTTTTCGAATGACAAGGAAATATTTCATTTCATTGAACAATGAATATAAAATTTTGTTGAACTATTTCTTGCAATACTAATTCCGATTATTCATAGTGTGATAAACTTAAACTTTTTTCCAATAATTTTTATTGGAATGGAAAAATCAAAATATTATTTTGATTTTTCCATTCATCACTCTTAATCGCTGATTCATAACTCAATTTCTATTCTAACTTGCTAACCTTCAATTATATATTTATGATTGAATTATTGCTAAAATTCTTACCCAAAAAATGAGATATTTAGTTCGATTCGATTTTTGTAATTATCAATTTATCATGAAATTCAAATCAGCTGGAATGCTGACTAATGGATAAGGATTACATTACATATCCTTTATAAAAAATCGAATTTGCTTCAAATCATAACTTACTGGTAGAAGACCATATTCTAAGTACCAAGAATAAAAAGAGACAAAAAACATGATACTGACATCTGTCATGGAATTGAGTTTGAAAATAAGTTTCTTGTTTCACCAAGTAATACGTATTATAATACAATTTCTTTGCTTGTCACACAATTTTGCCAGTTATCATCCCATACAGGATTGCCAACTTAATGAAAACTTTCAATATATTGGATATTATAATTTTTTCAAGCGTTATATAATTATACTTTTGATTTCCAAAAATGGGTGATAATTCAATATTTACATTTATATTGTGATATCTGATATTGATGAATTTTTATATATCAGAAAATTTTTGTCTATTAATAAAAGGAATTCAAACGATTTAAATCAGTTCATTAGGCAATTATCCTCTCTTAGTATTGCTCTTTTTAAGAAATGGCTGTACTGTTGAGATCCATAGTATATTTAGTTAGGCTACTATATTCGCTTAGAGCACATCTTTGAGAAGCTGACCTATAGGTCCCTCTTATGTGGAGTTGAACAGTCTCTAAATGTTTTGGGTGTCTGCCAATATGAGTCTTGTTACAATGAAAACAATGAATTGAAATCATTACGTTCAATTGAAAACTAATCGGAGATTTTTTCAAAATTTTGATAAAAATTGTATTCAATGGAATAACTATTTTATTAGCTATTTTTAAGTTATCGAATTTTTTGAAAATTCGTACAAGTTTACGTGTGATATCTGGAATATGAGGTTGTGAGAAAAACGTGATGAGTTAAGAATAATGGCAACATTATCACTATTGTTAGCAATATCGTTCTCATCCATATTATTATTTGAGTATATATTATTAGAATCATTGATTCAAATCTTATATATTTTTCAAATGATCCCGTTATTGCTATCTCAGAAACGGTAAGACGTACAGTTTCAGATTAATTGGACAAATGTTTTCATTTTTGGAGAACTCAAACAAAATATTCGCCGAAATATAAAATGGATGAATTAGTTTAATAAAACCTCAAAATATTGGTATTTCTATTCGACAAGTATGATTATTATGTTTGATTTCACACCGAATCATCTATTTTTCTCTTGGAATTAGCCGACATGCAGTCCTTGATAAGAGTTCCAAAAAATTATTTCAAGATTTCTATAATGACGAAGAATACCAAATTTCTTCAATGCAAAATTTGTTCTTTGAATTTTTTTTCCGCTAATCAACCTTCAAAAGTTGAAACTTGTCCGAGTTGAGGATCAACGAGGTCTCAATTATTCCAGCACGTTTGAACGTGAGACTCCTAGGAAAGTAACAAGCAACTTTCAAATATATTAGAGGAACTCTCCAAACAAAAATTAGACTTTTTATTAACCTTCTTCGGGTATTTTGAACTTCCACAATCTGAAAAATATAAAAATTGTAATGGTGAACTCATAAACAAAAATGACTTTTTTTCAATACAAATTGGATATTTCTCCAAAAATTGCATATGAATAATATGCACATGTATATACATATATTAATTTTCTACAAATATTTATACGAAGTTTTCATTGATGAATTAATATTGATAGATTTCATTTACTTTCACTTATCATTTTCTTAATTTCATTATCGGATACATCAGTAATTATTGTGGTTGATTATGAAACCAAGAAAATAGACTTCTGGTATGAGATACATATGTTTTCGAATGAAAATTAGAAAGATATCTAAAGAAAACTGCATCGATTGTTGTTTCATGTCTTGTTATAAGTTATTATTCATTGGTAGTTCTAATTTACCTTGAAGAAAGTTCACCAAGAATTGTCCATCTTCGGTAGCTAAATTAACATTGAACTCTCCTGCCGAAATCAGTGGCAACGTATGATAGTTTTTACCTATAAAGAGCATAATTGATAAAAAATTATTTGTATTTCTATTGGGAAGTCAATATTTTCAAGAACGACCAACATAGACTTCTTTGTGATCATTTAACTACCATCTAAGTACATAAATAAAATGATGTTGCTGTCTTCCTTTTGAATTATACAAAGTTAGAAATACTTGTGATGCACTATTTGGAACCTTTGGTGTAGTACCTAATATATATTACTGGAGTTCTATGCCAACACCAAACCGTTATTTTCAACACTTCGATATGTGTTTTGATCACCAAGTGATCATTTCCAAGAGGAAGAATAAAATCAGTCTTCCTCTTGAAGATGATCGCTTGGTAATTCAACATATGTCGAGGTGTTGAAAATGACGGTTTGGTATTGGGATGAAACTTCAGTAATATTCAAAGTAGGAAGTGTTGATCTGTGACTGACCTGCTTTTCAATATATTTGTCAGCAATTTCATGAACCAGTTTCAAACCAATGTTATATGCCGATGACACAAAATTCAATGTGAATCAAAATTTTAAAAGAAATGGCAAAAGTGGCTCCTGAAAAAAAAGTGTACCATATTTCATTCACTTCCAATATAAAGGTCGTGTTTCAGATATGATCAATTATGTTGATGAACTATGTTGATTGACTATAAGTTTTGGTGAATTTGATATGATGGCTCTATTCCTTTGAAAATAAACAGTGTAAAACAGCTTGTTCAGGTGTGTCTACTACTAATTGTATAATTTCAATTCCAAATTCATTAACAAATGTACAATATCGTATGAATATCTATAAATATTAAAAAATTTGTTAGTATATACATAATATTTTAACACAGTCTGCTAAGTGTAAACACTTGTGTTGGACTGGGTTAGTTGAAAAATGAAGATTACGTCAACTGTTTATAGATATTTTTTATAAAAATATAAATTGAAATAAAGAAATGTATCAACATTAGTATTTCATCATGTATGAAGGTGAAATAAATCATCTGTTGAACTGAATTATTTCAATGTGAGTACATTTTCAATTTTCTCATATTATCTAATATCCAATTGTGTAATGTTTTTTAAATGCAGTAGTTCTCAACTTTTTAATTTCTTGTGGAATTATATTGTAAATTTTACAACCAATACATATGGAGTATTGTTGCATCAAATGTAGACTATACTTAGCAATTCGAAAGCAAGTTTTGATCTTGTATTATAGTTGTTCAATTATGTCAGTATTTGCAAGTTTGTCTGAGATTCAAAATGAAATATTTCATGAATGAAACTTCTGATAGAAATCTGAAAGATTTTGTAAAGATCATTTTAATTGCATATTTATTCATATATTCGACAAATTTTAATGAATTTTCATATATACCACCCCAGGCTATGATTCCATAATATTGGAAAATAATACAAGTATCAAAATTTCTAAATCATTTTCACCATTTCTGTATATACTAGATATTGAATGTATCCTTTCCGCTAACAGGTCCCAAAGACATCTCATCAAAGTAATTGCAATCGCAGCTGTTCTATCAGCATTGGTCACAGCAGCCATTATTATAGCAGTATTTGTACTGTTACATCGAGAAATTTTGCCCGTTGAACATGAGAAAATCTCGAGAGGAACGGTAGTGTCAAATGTAGTAGGCTGTGCAAATATTGGAACGTAAGTGATAGTAATAATATAGAATAATTCACACAATAATATCATCATACAATAATCGAGGGAATGTATTATTCAAGTGTTTCATAGATCAGGGCAACATGCCAACAGAAAAGAAACTTTAATCAAAAATGAATCACCTTTTTAGTATCTATGATTTCACGAAAACCTGAAAAATTATTAAGGATTATTCAACATGCCTGTTCTAAAGACAAGTACATTATACTAAAGTTCGAATTTCAATGCCCCACGATCTGATCATCTTTTTTGTTTTCAAAACTAGGAATATAATGGAGAAAGGGGGGAATGCCGTAGATGTAGCTATAGCAACTCTTTTCTGTGAAGGTGTTGCGATGCCTAGTACCATGGGATTGGGTGGCGGTTTTTTGATGACGATATATAATAAGACAACAGGAGAAATGTGGTCTTTGAATGCTAGGGAAGTAGCACCAGCAGCTGCAACAATAGACATGTTTCAAGGAAATGAAAAGTTGTCAGTATCTGGTTAGTAGAATTTCTCACTGGTGAAGTGTCCAAAAATTGATGTTCTGATTAAATTTCAGGTGGCTTATCAGTGGCAGTTCCTGGAGAACTGATGGGTTACTGGTCCGCCTACCAAAAGTTTGGAGGTGGAGTGCCATGGAAAGACTTGATTCAACCTACTATAGATATATGTAAAAAAGGAGTTTTGGTCAATGGTTTCGTAGCGGGACTACTTCAGGAATATAAAAACGATCTTTATGCCGATAGCGTTTTGAGGTATGTTTACGATATCACAATTTGTATGGAATGCCAAATTTTGAAACTGTCAGAACTAATAAAACATCAAGCAGCTGGTTGTATGTTTTTAGGCTGTCGAATAACATTTTTCATCACTGATTGACACTGATTTTCTTCTAGGGAGATTTTTTTCGATCCCGAAACAAATGACACCTACACGGAGGGACAGTATTATACAAGGCCAAAGCTTGCCAGAACTTTGGAAATTATTGCTACAGAAGGTGCTGATGCTTTGTATAATGGTTCTCTCACAGATGAATTCGTTCGAGATATACAGGATCACAACGGTATTATTACTGTGGATGACCTCAATTCCTATAGGTATATAATACATGAATATATCATATCAATATTATGTGAATATTATCTGAAACTTTTGTTTACATGACAGAGCAGAATGGCAAAAACCAATTGAAGCAACTCTATCTGGAAATATAAAATTATATACAGCTCCACTACCTGGTTCTGGGTCAATCCTAACATTCATTCTTAATGTACTTGACAAATTCTTAGATGTCAAAAAGCCAACATCAATCACGAACTATCAGAGAATCGTAGAAAGTTTCAAATTTGGTTATGCGAGAAGAAGTGAACTCGGAGATAGCAATTTCGTGGATGTAGAAGAGGTAGGTTTATTTTCCACAAAATTCAAAATATGTGTGTTATCATTACTCTTTCTATCCTACAATTCCGATGGATGATTATTGTAACATACTGAATAGTTCAACATGAGTTTGATAGAGGATTTACATCAACAATCGACCAGTTTTATTTAATTAATACTTATTCTGTTAACTACAGATTCTTGAAACACTGCTGTCCAGAAGATACGGCAGAAGAACAAGAAACATGATTCGTGACCACTGGACCTCTTCAAATGCCTCTTATTACGGAGCTAGATTTGTGATGCCAGAGGATCACGGTACTGCTCACATTTCTGTTTTGACCCCTAGTGGTGATGCAGTATCTGTTACGAGTACCATCAATTATGTGTAGGTATTTTTCCTCATAAATTTAAGTTCAATAACATCAGCATCAGTTCAGCTCACCGCTTCGGTTGATATTTTCAGTTTTGGAGCAAAATTCGCATCGAACAGTACTGGCATTATTCTCAACGACCAAATGGATGACTTTTCCTCTCCAAATATCACCAATGTTTTCGGAATTCCACCATCTCCATCCAACTACATTATTCCTGGTAAACGACCAATGTCTTCGACATGCCCTTCTATCATACTGAACAAAAACAAAGAAGTCGTGATGATAATTGGCGGTGCGGGAGGAAGCAAAATTACATCAAGCGTTGCCCAGGTAAATATAGATGAGAATTACAATCGACTGGTTTTAATGTATTCATTGATAGTACTATAGTGTCAAAAATATGAAAGCACATTTTTATATATCAGGTCATTTTGAATCATCTATGGTATGGCATGGATTTGAAGGCGGCTTCGGATGCCAAGAGAATTCATCATCAGTTGTTTCCCATGGAGGTAGCTTTTGAGGAAGAGTATTTGATGGAGGTGAGTCATACAAATTTGAATATTCGTAACCGTAAATTACTATTCGTGACTGACTGATCCAATACACAAATTCTGAAAAAAAACGATGTTGTAGTAGATATAGTGTTGATGCCAATAATGGAAAAAATCTGAAACGAGTAAATTGTTGATAACCAGGGCCCATCATCACGAACTGCGGTCTCTACTGAAAATAATTGAATCTAGTGCTAAAATTTGACGTGATGGCATAAATTGGTAATTGAAATTGACTCATGCAGGGGATGATTAGAAATAGTTTCTATAGGCAGTTGGAAAGCAGTTGATCCGTTAATCTGTTGAGCTAAGGACTAACGAGGTCTTACCTTTTAACGTGCGATTCCTAACACAGGTTGAACGATAAGAAGTGAAAATCGATCGTCCTGCCTTGCGGTTCGATCCACCGTTTCACAAAGTGATTGTTGACTGATTGAGTGAAGCAAACCATCAGGCTACCGTCACACCAGGCTACCAGTTGGTGGATAAAATTTTACTCAAAATATACATAAAACAGACTCTAGCTGTATAGTTTGAATTCAAGATTGCTTTGGATTTTACTCCACCTCAATTTTGAAATTTTATTATATTTTTACTTTTGTTAATATTCCTTCCTTCAACTGGAAAACTATCCACAATGTTTTCAGCTGAATTTTTTTTTAATTCTTTCTTATGATTCCGAATTATAATATTGGGAAAAATCCTATAGTTGAAATTAAAAAAAAAACTCGATTTGAAATTTATATTTCACTTTCTACTCTGACTACCATTTCTGATTTTGATATTTCTTTCTTTTGTAGGACACTTTCGTTGTGGAAGGTCTCCAACGAATTGGACACAATGTTTCCTTCTCTAATGGAAATGGATTTGCTGCAATAACTGCAATTTCAAGAAATGAAGACAACTCTGTAACTGGTGTTTTTGATAGACGAAGACCTGGATCTGTGTCCTATGTTTATTAAATTTGAATGACGGCGTCATTTGAGTTAGTTTCAATTCATCGAAAGAGTGAGACTGAATTTTCTCAACTTCTTTGAACTATTATCAGATATATATTTAAATATTTCAATCATTCCATAGATATTTGAGATGAAAATTCAAATCATGAGTTTTATTTTGGTTTTCATCTTATATTTCAAAGGAACTTTCCATGTGTACTGAAAAGAAGTTGGGTGGTATTCTGTGATATAGTGGTAGGATATGCAATCAGAATATTATAGATAGGTAAAATCATTGTAAATAAAGATATCACATAACTACATAAAAACTACTTTTTCTTTATTCAAACTGCTGATTCTGGTAACAATATGTCGGAATAAGAGTTAAATATCAGATCCGTGATGTTTGTCGGAGAAGCACTGTTACTCTGAGCTAGTGTTCAGTTTATTTTTGAAGAATTCTCCGATTCAAAGTGTTACCATTGAATTTCATATCAAGAACTATTCTGAAATTTGAGTTTGAAATTTGATTGGAAAAAATTTCAAAACGTCAGAGATGTGACTTAACCTGATATTGAACCCGGGATCTCTGGCACACTATCCTATATTTTTTCGACCACTATCTCAAAGAATTGCTTTCGAGCTACTTTTTGAGGTACTTGGTATTCTAATTACCTTGATTTTGTTATTAAGTGACTAACTTTCCAGACATAATAATTGTTTTGCCACAATGAAAAATTTTGGTGGGGTACTCTCGTTTTCATTTTCCGAGCCCATATTTTCATTTAGTTATTTGTTAGAAAATATATTTTTTGAAACAAACAGCCAGTTCAATGAATGAATTTTCAAGGCTCGTTTCGAAATGAAAATTTTTAAAGTTATATAGTTTTCTCAGCTGCAGTGAGCATGACTCTTGTCAATTGTGTTTGGTTTGAAGGTGTGAGTTATGAATCATTTTGGATACTCACTCAACAAGAAAAGGTATAATAATCGATTCTTCCGTCAATAGTCACAGAAAAACAAGTTTATCTGAGTATTCCTCTTATATATTTCATAACAAAAATTATTTCATAACAAAAATATGTGAATATTGTGAAAATACTTTGACAATGAATCTCTTTTTGATTGAAATATAATGTTGATAACCCATGGAATGAAATATGAATATTAACTGAACAAAATCTTGAACAATGTTGATCCTGATAATGCTAGCTTGGTTAGTGAAATGCGCTTCGAAAAACATTGGTTCTATTCTGGTATGGAAAAATGTTTTCAATAGAATTTTGTGTCATTTGAGTCATTAAATTGAAAAAAATTCGAAATCGTTTCAGAATCTAGCGTATAAAGTAGTAGTAGTAGTAGTAGTAGTAGTAGTAGTAAGGAAAAATATTGTACATACATAACATTAATACTGAATTCGCGCTTCATATTACGTGATATAACTGAAATATGAATATACTTCATCTTTTTGCAAAAAACTCAATTTTTTGCGAAAAAACATCATTCCGACTTTCTTTGGTTATTCTCACCTTCCATAATCTGAAAAATATAAAAAGGGCAAACTTTATAGTTTACCCCGATAGATTACTGCGTAAATTCAGAGTATTTTTCACAAAGAAAATTGTTTTCTCCAACAGTAACTTGTCGTATTTTACGATTTTGCCTATCAAGAAAAGAGTTTAGAACTTATATTATACTCATCTTACAGTTTCAGAGGCTGAAATCTGCCTCGATGTTGAAATAAAGTGTTCTCTAATATCAGTCTGTTGCCACTATCCACATTTTTCTTCAAAACAGAAAGCCAAGTACAATTCATTTCTAAAGATCTGTTCGAAATACACTCCTCTCCAGATATGACAATATACACTGATTCTTTGGTTTTACTTCTCTCAGGGCGAGGTTCATTGGCACTCATTTTCATCCTGCGGAAGGTGGAAATACCAAAAGAAGGTCGATGAAAACCATAATTGCGTAATTGAAACATCATGTTCTGAAAAATTTTGTGGTTTATCCAAATTTTCATGAAAATTAGATGATATTAATAATAGATAGACTTTTTTTATTCTCTATGTGAGAAATTGCATGATACTTACAACTTTCTTTCCTTGTCTGGCAATCAAACTAATACTCTGGGAGATCTCAAATTTGCACCTCATTCATATACATGTAGGAATATCTGTTATTTGCTAAATTTGTCATAGTATACAACAGTATAGAAACCTTGATATTATCATGATCAGACTCAACAGTGTGCTCTTTTTATGCTTTAATTTGGATAGTGAAAAATTGTTATACCGAAAATTCATTAACAAATACTATTTATTCTCCACATAAAACTAATTTTCTACATCACCTCATGTAATAAATACTGTATCATGAAATCTACAACGATGAATTTCAAATGCTGATAAAAATCAGAGTATTGTAGAATGGATACATTAAAAAATATTATAGTTGATTATTTGAAAACCAGAAGAGGTATTCTCAAAAACAAAAATCAGGCTGACGTTTAGACATTAAGAAAATAATATTTTCCAAAATGAGATACACTACAGCGACGAAACTTATTATGAAAAATGTTATTTTCATTTTAATCTCATAACATCTTGTTTGTAGAGTTTTCAAGTAGGTAATCTAAACGAGAAATGTGTTGTTTGATTCAAGATACAGCTTATGAAAAACGTTGAGTATTTTTTGATGAGTTTTATAATTAGGGGTATTGTGGTTCGTGAAATTTTTCGCTAATCAACCTTTCAGTACTAACATGCCGTCTGAGAGACTGAGCCCCACCATTCTCCCCATATTATTGCGCAGCGCATGTCGATTCAGTTACGGACTAATTGTCTGAATGAAGAGTTTATAATAAGCATTTTTGCTGGTTGGTGGTCTCCTAGACGGATGTTAGCAGTGACGTCACTTTTGAAACTATATAGAAAGGTAACATTGACAATTATTACTGGTGAAATGCCAAGAAATATTTTGTGTTTTAGAGGTTTACTAACCAGAAGTCCGAGTATGAAGTGTATTTTAGCATAATAGTCAATATTATTTCTAGTTTTGTCTCACATACTGATGTTAGTAGTGGCCTTACTATTTCAATTATAACGAAAGGTAACATGTTTTTCGATTATTTTTCATAAAATAGCATAGGAAATCATTGTTTGTTTTAGAGATGTGTTATGAAAAAAAAAGATTGTGAAGGTTGTGGGAAAAGATAGAAGATGAAGAAGGCCAAAGTAATGTTCCAGACAACCAGGCAGACTTCAGTGAGGAAGAGCGTTCAGAAGATTCCGAGTCGGATCAAGAGTTAGACCCAGAGTCAGTAGAAAATCTCGTGAAAGAGGTCGGAACCAAATTTAGAACACATAACTGCACATCAAGACCATATTTTCAATCAAAACGTGAAGTATATGGAGCCACTTTTCACTGGTAGAGACAACTTGACAACCCTAGTCAATCAATAATGAAGCGAATAGTTATTCCAAATAATACAAATGAATTTCGAACTAGATTAAATGGTATAAATTGGTGTCAAATTTAATATTTGTCTGTACAAAAATGTTTCCCCTTTTTTCCTAGAGTTTCTGTCCTGGTGTTTTGATGTATCATGCCTAATAAAACAAAGTAAAGTTAAGAAGCCTAAAAACTCATGGATAACTAACGATGTTATTCAAGAAGGAGAACGCTTAAGAGAAATATTCTATCTGATCATCAGTTATGAAGAAATCGATGCCCAAAGCATGTTGACACATAAAATAAGATTGAGAGAACATGGAAAAACAATCAAACAAAATAAAATTAACTATTTTTTTAAAAAAATTGGGAATGCAGCCAATAAAACGAAGGAGACATGGAAAATAATAAATAGCGAAATAGGGAAACCAATGCATTTTGATGCTAGGTAGGGGAGTATTACTTTAAACTATAATTCAAACTCAGTTGGGAATGTGCAAAATACATCTGAATCAAATAAATAGATTTGGGAAGCTGAATACACTTATTGAATGAATGAATCGAAAAGGTTTTTGTATGAAAGTGTATAATTATTAAATTATTGCAGAGCGCATTCGACTTTTATTATCATTATTGCTCAACTGAAAGTAAGTGATCTAATTGAAAAGAAAGTTTTATGAAAATTACAATTTGCAAAAAAAGTTTGCAAATTGTAATTTCATGTTGTCAGACAACATGAAATATCAAAATGACTACATGGCATATTTGTAATATTTGACTTATATGAAACAAAATAGGCTGATAGCCAATAAAATACATTTTTGGATTGAGGCCATGTGGTTCAGTCAAAGTATTATATGAAAGCAGGGCAACTTGAGAGAGGATATGTCAAGTGTCATGTTGAAAATAATGGTAGCAACTCGAGGACTGATCCATTATGGATTTAAAATAATTAAGTTTTGGAGAAGCCAGTATAGAATTAAGTAATTTAGTAATAAAGTTGATTAGTTAACAATTCATAATCATTTTATGAAGAGGAAGGAAATCTCTGTTTAAGTTCACTTGAGTATTCAAGCAATGACCATTGTTGGAAAGTTCTTTGGAAATCTCCAGCTCTTCAAACAAGTCCAGTCTGAGGAAATTTTTATTATCTATTTTATGAATTATTTTGGAATTTCTGTTGGGGCTGAAGTTATGATTGTGAAATTTAATGTGGTGGCCAGATGCAGATTTTGAAGGTTTTTTTAAATGTTCATTGATGCGCGTAAAGAGAGTTCTACAGGTTCTACCAATGTAAGATGCAAAACAATCAGAGCAGTCCAGCTCATAGACTCCAGTTCTGTGTAATTTGTTGATTTCGTCTTTGAAATTTACTAAAAAGTTGCTTAAGATATTTTGAGATTCAAAAGAAATTTTTGTGATAGGTAAAGTTTTTTCTATAAATTTAAAAATAACAGTACACATATTTTGATTATATTAAGCTAAAGAAAAATATTTCACAAAAGGTGAACTAACCAAGGTGGTAGAGTTGAGGGTCACTGACCTGTGTTTGAATTTACTAATTAATTGATGAATAATATAACCATTGTTGACAGTAATCTGTTTTGATGTA